GCTAGTTGGTGTCCTGATCTTGGATTTATATAAGTTTCATGTGTATGACATCATATTTCTATTTCTGTATACCCTACAGCATGCTCCCCACCAAAAATTTAGTTTCTATCCATCACTACACAGTTGATTCCCTTTACCCATTTTGCCTTCCTTCTGCTTCTTCCCCTCTGATAATCACTACTCTATTCTCTACATGTTTGTTTTTGTTTGGTTTGTTCATTTATTTTGTTTGTTTGTTATATTCCACATATGAGGGAAATAATACAGTATTTGTCTCTCTGTCTGACGTATTTCACTTAGCATAATACCCTCAAGGTCCATTCATGTTGTCCCAAATGGCAAGGTGTCATCTTCTTTTATGGCTGAGTAGTATTTCACTGTATATATACCACATCTTTATCCATTCACCTGCTGATGGACACTTAGCTTGTTTCCATATCTTAGCTATTGTAAATGGCATTTCATTTTTTAAAGCTTATGTCTGACACATTATTTTACACTATGAATTGGTACTACAGTGTTTCTAAAAATGTGTGTGTATGTGGAATTTTTGCATTACCAAATAGCGAAATCCACCAGAGAAATTTCTCCTTTTAAAAAGGGGTCTTATTAAAAGTATTTTTAAATGAATAATCTCACTTAAGTAATTTCATATATGTCCTATGTTTTCATGTTTGGTTTCCTAAAGAGATACATTTTAATATATGAGGAAAGCTTTCACAAATAAGTGTACATTCCACTTGGATCTAATGATCACACATTTGGAATTTGCGGTTAATCATGTTTCCCTACGAGTCATAGGCTCCTTTACACAGAAAATGTTTTTACCAGCTATGCAATGATAAAAGACAACCACTAGTAGGCGCCGCGAGCCCACTCCTTTGGCCCAAGCTTTGCTTTCAATGTGGGCTTTCGATGCTTGTCAACAAATACATTTGCCAGTACGATATGCATTTGTACTCTAACTGAATCACACTTAGTTTGATTAACTACTTTTAGGTATAAATGACAGAAGAACAGTTAACCAGCCTGCTTCCTTTGTTCAGTACACATCTGGGGTTTAGGGCACTGACCATCTCTTCAATCCTCCCCTTTAAATATCTTCGAATAAGTTGAGGAACTTATGCTCAGACCATAGGAAAGACTCTTACGTTTTTCATAATGGATAGAATATTGGACTTAGGGTCAGAAGACCTGGAATCAGATTTCAGCTATACCTTACCAGTTCTGTTACATACTATAGAAATGTGAAGAGATGGCATGGCAAAATTTTCTGGGAGAAAATTAACTGGAAAAACCTCCATCTGGGAGGTCTGGGGATCCATTGTTCTCACTTATCTGGGGTGACTGGACCCTGAGAGACTGCTTCTCACAACTCAAAGGGTACCTGGGACTGTGGTAGACCTGGAATGTCAGTTTATTAAGTTATGCTATGTAGGAAGGCAGATTCTAATGAAGAGGAGGGCTTGGGGAGTAGAGTCACAGCCAAAGAATGCAGATGATTTTAGGAAAAGTACGTTGGCCAAGATAGCTTGAGGGACTTCCCCACTTTACAGAGAGCCTTGCCAAAGGGACCGCACCCTCGGATTCTGCGGCCACCATGCCATTTCCATCTCCTGTGGATAGTGGAGGATTCTCACGGCCCTCTCTCTGCCTCTTGGTTCCCAGGTCTCTATTCTTCCATGGCTGCCCAACTTTCTTTTCAAGGGACACACTCTTTATTTATGGCTAATTCGTTCAAGTAGGTTATATTTTGCTGGCCTCCCTTGAGTGGCCTTTTGTACATCTGTGCTGTGATCATTTAAACATTCATTTTAAGATTTTTTTCTCCCATTAATAGATAACAATAGCAATAACCTAATTATTTTAGTTTTAGTCTTTATCAAAGGCAACTCATATTTCCAATCGATCAATATTGCCTGTGAATAATACCAAAAGTAGCTAACATTTATGAGTGCCCATCAGTGCCGGGCACTGTGCTATGTACTTCGTAAAAGTTATCTCACTTAATCCTCACAATAACTGTATCGGGGCATCTGCTAGTCTCACTTTATAGATGAAAAACCTGAGAGTCGCATAGGATAAGGGACAGCTCAAGTAATCAAGTTGGAATATGAACTCAGGAAGTTCCATTCCAAGATCTTAACTTCACAACTCCGTCTACCAGTTAGAGCCTGAGTTCTGAAATCTGCCTTTGCAGGTGCCTCTGTGTGTCTGTGAGAACTTTGGGTGATCTGGGCATTGTTGAATTATGATCGGTTGAATTTTTATTGTTAGAATGTCAAATGCTCATGGAGTCGCAAGAGTGCAGATTGCATAACTTCTTTTTTAATGAATTGATGTTGCTTGGGTTTTATGTTTTACTTCTTACAAAAGCTCTTTTTTATGTTATAAGGAAATATCTGAAAACATCCAGGTCAGTAGACCCTGGTGATGAAATGCCCCAAACACAATGACTCACTCAAAAAACGGACATATTCCTATAATATAGTATTTCCTACAAACAAAACTTGTATGAGTTCAAGGAGAACACATAAGAGTACAAAAGCAAGGGTTCTGAATTATATATAAATATATGTGTATGTATGTATATATATATAAAATCATATTATATATATCATATATAATAGCAGCCCAGGTTCCCTGAGGCCTTACCTTGTACCAGACATTGGTTAAAGCTCAGTATGTATATTAACTCACATAATCATCAAGAAACCTATGAGTTAGGCACTATTTTAACCCTCATTTTACACATGAGAAAACTGAGGCCCGGAGAAGTGAGGTAACTTGAATCCACAGCTAGGAAATGGTGGAGACAGGATTCGAGGCCAGGCAGCCTGCATTCTTACCCACTGTGCTCTCCTGGGTGGTTATTGCAGCTTTTTAATTGACACTCATCTCTTACAGAGCCTTTTCTGTCTTGCAGTTGATTCCTTTGGGGTCTCCTTGAGGCAAGTCTTCTCTAGAAGACATGGTGATTTGCCCAGCAGAGATATGAGAAAGCTTACTACCTGTGACTTATGATCTATATCTTGGAGTGTTGAGTAGGAAGTCTTGTGCTTACTGAAATCCTTCTCATCTTTAAATCTCATGATTGTTGATAGAGGAATATAATAAGCCAAATGTATCAAAGGGAGTTAAAACTGTTTAATGTAAATATAGCCCAAGGACAACTTCTCTACATGATAGAAAAGTACATATAATAGGTCTTACTTGAATGCATGGAGAGAAGGTGGCTTGATGATGTTGATGACGGTGGTGATGATGATGATGATGACAGCTTACACTTGCAGAACACTCACTCTAGGCTAGGCAGTGTTCTCAGTGGAGTGCAGATACTAACTTATCTACAGTGAGCAGGAGCTGTCAGCCTAGCTTTTAATGTCAAAAATGAGACACGAGGGCTTCCCTGGTGGCGCAGTGGTTGAGAGTCCGCCTGCCGATGCAGGGGACACGGGTTCGTGCCCCGGTCTGGGAGGATCCCACATGCCGCGGAGCGGCTGGGCCCGTGAGCCATGGCCGCTGAGCCTGCGTGTCCGGAGCCTGTGCTCTGCAACGGGAGAGGCCACAACAGTGAGACGCCTGCGTACCGCAAAAAAAAAAAAAAAAAAAAGAGAGAGAGACACGAGCCCTTTAGGAATTTTCAGAAGGTGACAATCAGGACAGGTTCCCAGGAATGGTTAGTGAGGTGGGATGCAGGCTACCCCTTCCTTGTTATGTGAACTTGGGCAACTTAGCCTCTCTCATGCTGTTTCTTCGTGAGTATTATGTGTAAAGAATCATTCCTACCATAAAGGGCTGCTAAGAGAATTAAATGAGATAATTTATAAAATATAAACGCATGCACATGGTACATGACAGCTGCATAAATGTGAGTTGCTACTGGTGTTGTTATCATTACTCTGGCCATGGCCACCTCTGATGATTTTTGACCACTGGCAAAGGATCATTTTCTTTCTACCAGTAACTATGGTATGCTGAATGCTTCAAGTCTGTTTCTTAGGGCAATTCTCAGCTCATCAGTTGCCATCCTGGGCTGACAATGGAATATTACTCAGCCATAGAAAGAAACGAAATTGAGTTATTTGTAGTGAGGTAGATGGACCTAGAGTCTGTCATACAGAGTGAAGTAAGTCCGAAAGAGAAAAACAAATACCGTATGCTAACACATATATATGGAATCTAAAAAAAAAAAAAGGTACTGATGAACCTAGTGGCAGGGCAGGAATAAAGACACAGACATAGAGAATGGACTTGGGGGGGGAGGGGGAAGCTGGGGTGAAGTGAGAGTAGCATCGACACACACACACACACACACACACACACACACACACATATATATATAGCTAGTGGGAAGCAGCCGCATAGCACAGGGAGATCAGCTCCGTGCTTTGGGAAACCTAGAGGGGTGGGATAGGGAGGGCGGAGGGAGGCTAAAGAGGGAGGGGATATGGGGATTTATGTATGCGTGTGGCTGATTCACTTTGTTGTACAACAGAAACTAACACAGTACTGTGAAGCAGTTATACTCCAATAAAGATGTATTAAAACACAAAAACAAAAAACAATCCTGGGCCAAGGAGGAACTGTACTGGGCGCTCTTGGGAGTACCACGGTCCTTGCTCTCAGCTGGGAAGGAACAGGGAGAAGCTGAGGAGGGATGGAGCGAGAGACCCAGAGATAGGATGAGAGAGGGGCAGCAAGAAGAGAAAGAATTCGCAGCAAAATAGAACTCGCGCCTGACGCAGGCCCTCTTGTCACTGTCCATTACTTGGACCTGGATCGAATTATTTTCTTTCGAAATTTTATTATTTCCAACACTAACCGTGCGACGCTCGCCGGCGGGGCGGCGGGATCACCCCCTCCCTAACTCTGCTTCCCTCCACATCCCACTCCTGACCCCGCCCGGCGATTGGTCTGCTGGACCCGGGGCCGTCGCGGATTGGAGCTCGCCGGCCGGGTCTGCGGGGTTTAAAGAGGGGGGCGGGGGCGCGCTGCCCAGCTGCGCTGCTGTCCTCGCCGCGCGCCCGTCGTGCAGCTGGGCTCGCTGCGTCTCGTGGCTTCCCGCCTCCTCCAGCATCCCGCATCTCGCCGTCGCAGGCCAACGGCTCGCCAGCGCGGGAGAAGGAGGGCCGGGTCAGGCGCCGTCGAGCCCGGGCGCGGGCACAGCTAGTGAGGGGAGAGGCGCAGGGACTCCAGGGCGGCCACGATGGTGGCCACATTCCTGCAGATAGTGGGTTTCGTCACGAGCTTCGTGGGTTGGATCGGCATCATCGTCACCACGTCCACCAATGACTGGGTGGTGACCTGCGGCTACACTATCCCCACCTGCCGCAAGCTGGACGAGCTGGGCTCCAAGGGGCTGTGGGCCGACTGCGTCCTGGCCACGGGGCTGTACCACTGCAAGCCCCTGGTGGACATCCTCATCCTGCCGGGTAAGGACCCTGCCTTGCAAGTGGCTGTCCTAAATAAACCCTTTCCTTCCGGGCAGATGGGGGAGGGGAGCATTAGGCAGCGTTCACAGAATTATCTGGGGGCTTGAAGACTTTGGGGCATCTTTTGACACCTTCAGTCCTACTTTGTTGAGGAGGAATTAGGTAGCCCTGAACTTAACCTCTCTCAGCCTCAGTTTTCTTATCTGGAATTTGGGATGACAGTGGTGGCCACTGGCCGAGTCACCCTGAGAAGGTAATGAACTGAGACATAGACACATAGTTGGAACTCCCTACATATTAATTACCGTAGCCTCACCTGCCGCGTGCTCCCACTGTGGGTGGATCAGAAGTACTTCATCCCCTGGCCTCCTCCTTCAGGCGCCCCGCTTTCCCTGTTAGAATCCACCCGCAGAGGCTGGAGGAGGAAAGAGAGAAACAAAAGCATTCCAGCTACCCGAACAGGCGCAGGCTGAGTTTCCCAGTCCTTGTGGGACGGCCGAGGTGTCCTGGCCAAGTTAGGGCCCTCCTACCTGCGCCCAGTCGGTTCCCACAGGCCCCGGGGCCTGTCCCATTTCCCCTACCCCTTGCCCCCGCAGTGAAGGGCGTCGGTCCTCGGGCCTGCCGAGATTCCCCTCCCAGTCTCCGCACCCTGGGGTCAGAGAGGGAAGAACGGGCGCCCCTGGGAGGGCCCACTCACCTTGGGAAAAGAAGCAACTCCGCGGGTCGCCCCCTCCCCTACGGCTGTGCCTCAGAGTGGGGAGGGGAGGGAAGAGTTGCCTAGTTTCCACCTTCCCCGATGCCAGCCGGTGCCGAATCTTAACTTGCTGCCCTGTTGAAAAATTCTGGGCAAGTTTCAATTCAGATTTAAACCTCGAGCCAGTTGGATGATTGACAAGGTCTTCGGAGCCCCTTCAGGTTTTCTGCTCGGAATCTTGGCTTATCCCGGCCCAGGCCTAAGCACGACTGTCTCACTAGCCTTTGAGGATGGTGCGCCTTTAAAGGCCTATCCCGGTTTCCTTAACAAGTGGAGTAACTGGGCGGTAGGCCGGAGTAACTGGCCCCCGAGGCCGCCAGTCTGGGAGACTTTGGCTTTGGCCTTCTCCTGGATGAGCTTTTCTCTCCCGAAGACTGTCCCTCTTTAAGCCTCACCTCAAGTGCTTCCTATTTCCAGGTCCTTGTAGTCGGAATCTATCGCCCTTCCTCCTTGCCACCCTGGTATTTGACCCCTATCCCCGTCAGTGCACGTTTTGACTTCTCTGTTCCTTGTTTGTGAGTCAAGTTCTCCTAGCACATTTTAAATTCCTCAGAGATATAGATAGCATCCTACCCTCTTTGCATCTTCCCCTGCACCTGGCACTGCCCCTGACACACAGCAGGTACGCACAGTGCGTGCCAGTCCTGCCCTCCATTTTGGACTTTCAGAATGACAGAGGTCTGGGGAACCCAGATGTGGACCCACCTCCAGTTAAAGCTGCCGTTGGTCGACCTGGATCAGACTCTGGGATGCAGTGCTTACAATCCGAGTGCTTTGCGACAAGTTCCTAACCTCTATGAACCCCGGTCATCTTCTTTTAAAAATTAAAATGAAACCAACCCCCTATCTTTCAGAGTTGTTTTGGGGATTAAATGAGATGAGAAATGTAAGCCTCCTTAGATGGAGTAGAGGCTCCCTAAATGGTAGCTATATTTTTTATTAAAAGCCGGGCATGGTATTTTTAAGAATCTGACTTGAAGCATAAAATTACTCTCTGCTTCCTTCCTCCTGAAATTAAATTTGCTGAGCATTCGGTGACAAGTGGTTTATTTTTAGAGAACATAGACCATCCTACAGACGGAGTACACTTTAGGGAGGGCCTAATCCTTCCTGTGGTCCCCTCCCTCACACTGTAGGTGGGGACAGGGACAGATCTCAGTCTCCATCTTTAGATTCTCAAATGTGGCCTGGACACCTAGCATGTTCACAGACCGTGCCATGAATTTCAGAATCCGGGTGGCTAGCTGACTCTCCTTTATGTCAGCCCTGGTTCTCTGACCAGTCGCAGGGGCTTAGGGCTGAGGTCAGAGGTCTTGCCTCAGACCTCCTGTGGCTCCTATCTGGGGGTCTTCAAGTCAACAGATACTTGATTGATTTATTACCCTTAATTCAGAAGAAACTGAGTTGGGCAATTGTTGGGAGCGTGCCCTTGTGGAGTCTGAATTCTCGCAAAACACAACTTGCTAAGAGGCAATCTTGCAGTCGGGTCTTGGTGCACGGGTAGGCTGGCCACATTTGGTGTGAGGGTCCTGCCACGGGAGGCAGAAGCTGGGGCTTGTTTTTGGGTTTGCCATTAACTCTGCTTCCCCCAGGTCATTAGCTCTACTTTCCTCTGAGTCAAGAGGGAGAGTTACAACTCCCCGACCCCCTTTTTTGAAGGAGGGAGAGTGTTTTAGTGAGAAACGATACATTTAAGTGTGTCATATTCTCCCAGCATCTTGTCAGATTTATTTTACATAAATATTGCACATATTATAATCTGTTTCTTAATAAAGTAGCTACCTGGCATTTTATTTGACAGTATAAAGTTCAGGTAGCTTTGCTCCACTCTTATTATTCAACTCGTTAATTCCTTCATTCATAATTGTATGTTTACATCATCTGTTGTGGCCACTGTGTTAACTCCATGAAGACCAAGGCAGGTGTCTGTCTTCTAGGAATCCATGGGTCTGGAGAGATGCCTTTATGGAAAATGGACCATTGTGGAAGCATGCCCAGGGCACAGTCGGGGAGGCAGGAGATGGAGCCTGACCATCTATAGGGGACAGGATTCATGAGCAAGCAGTATCTGGGGAGATATCAAGAGAGGAAGCCTGAGTCTTAGCTTAGTCTAGTTAGGGCCACATACTGTTTATATACAATGTGAATTAAAAGCACATGATTAAGGGACAAAATCACCTAGTACACCTGGAGATAAAAGTACTGCCTTGACACAGAGTGAAATTAGGAATACCAGTAATAATAGCTGACCCTTTTTGCAGTACTTAGCATGCGCTAGGCACTGTTCTGAGCACTTCATGAATTAACGAATTTAATCTTAGTGGAATTCCATTGGAGAGATGTGGGTACTATTATTATTTTTACTCTGTAGGTGAGGAAAGTGTCAAGACACTTGCCCAAGGTCACACAGGTAGAACATATCAACAGCAGGCTGGGATCAACACAGACCATCACAGAAGAATTCTTCAAAGATTTGAATTTTAATCTGAATTTTTCACAAGGTGATGTAACAGTGTAATTGTACTCTTGGCCTCTTCATCTCGGAAGCTTGGAAGAGTGGTCTAAACCAGGGATCCCCATTCAGTCTCTCCAGCCCCCAACCTTCCTTTTTTTTTGTCACTGAGTCACGTTAAAAATTGAACATGCAAAGTGATCTTGGACAACATTTAACATATTATAAGTCCTGGAGTGGGACAAGAGGGAGGAAGAGGTAGATGGTGCTGGATTCCCGTGAGGCAGGACTGAGGATCCACGGGGACCCATGGCCTAACCCACCCTGTCTGCACTCTTGTTCCCAGGCTACGTGCAGGCTTGCCGAGCCCTGATGATCGCTGCCTCAGTCCTGGGTCTGCCGGCCATTCTCCTGCTGCTGACCGTTCTCCCCTGCATCCGAACGGGCCATGAGCCTGGCGTGGCCAAGTACAGGCGGGCCCAGCTGGCTGGCGTCATGCTCATTCTTGTGGGTAAGACAGCTTTCTGTAGAGCACCCCAACTCCCAGCGAACCTGAAGAATCTCGGGTCTTGCTGCTGCTTCATCGAGTTCAAGAGACGTGTGCAAGGAAGGCATGTGAATCCACTGGGGGAAAAGCCCCCCACAATGTGTATCCCTTTATGTTTCTTGGGCGGTTGATGCAGAGGGATAAGTAATGTCTGTGGGAATCACTGAACATAAAAGTAAGTTAAGGGATTTCCCTGGCTGTCCAGTGGTTAGGGCTCTGCACGTCCACTGCAGGGGGTGCAGGTTCGATCCCTGGTCCGGGAACTGAGATCCCACAGGCCGTTCGGCGCTGCCAAGGAAAAAAAAAGTTAAAGAAAACAAACAAAAAGGATTTTGAGGGTATACCTAAGAGAGAGAACAGTAGGCAGAAGAGAGTTACAGGAAAGCTCTCCACTCAGGCCTCATGATAAAAATCCCTTTTTGGAAACACCTGTGTCCAGGTCCCACTGCAGGTCCATTGAGTCAGAATTTCTGGGCATTAGACCAGGCAAAGATACTTTTTGAAAGCTTCCCAGGTGACTCTTGAGTGCAACCAGGATTGAGAACTTCAGTTAACATATAAAGAAAGACCAGAGAAAGAGGAGGGCAAGATAAAAGTAAGATGCTGAGGGTGGTAGATCACCAGGTGATGATTCCATCTTTTATTCAGTAAGCATTCACTGAGCACCCGCTGAGTGCTGGGCAGTATGGTAGGCACTGGGGATACTGGAGAAAAGAAGGTAGTCTGTGCTTTGAGTGTACTTGGACATCTTGATGTACTTGGTATACTTGCTCATCTAAAAGGTACACAGGCTGTGCACACACATAGGAAGGCATCTGATCCAGATTGGAGGAGTTTTCCAGAGCAGAGGACCCTGGCGATGAATTTTGAGAGCTGGATAGAAGGTGATCAGGTCATGGATTGGAGAGAGGGACAGCTCAGGCCAAGGACACGCCATGTGCTGGTTCAGTGTTCCTGATTACACCTGCACACGGGGGTCTTGATTTAACAGCCTAGGGAGGGTCCTTCTAGCTCTACTCTCTGACATGCATTTTAAGAACAGCAGCTCTTGTTGCCAAGTGTCCCGAGACATTGTGAGGAGACATTGGTTTGGATATGAGTTTGATATAAATCATGTTCTCCTGGGACAGGAAATTCCCATCCCCAAACTGGTATCAGACCACGTGTTTGAGGGGGAAAGGTAAGGAGCCAGGGTTCTGTGTGGATCAGTGCCACTTAGTGACGGTCACCCACAGTGACACCGGTGAGGTGAGGAGACATGAGGCATAGGGGTGAGGTTTCCCTTGATTGCAAAGGGTTGGAGGTTTTTAGAGCCTTGTGAAGCCATGGAGAATTCAGAGGAGGGGCTTGCGTGTGCGTGTGCATGTGCGTGTGTGTGCATGTGTGTGTGTGCATATGTGTGTGTGTGTGTGTGTGTGTGTGTGTTAATAGGAGTGAAAAGACCAGAAAACCTCTGTAATGTCCAGAGAAGAATTTGGGCGTGGACATTTTGGTTCCCGCCACAAAGAATTTGTGTGGGAGTGCCACACGGAACACAAAATCAGCATCATGTGCTTCAGTCAACTCACAGGGTCCTTCCTTGTAGTGCTTTTCGATGGCCAGATCTTTGCATCTGAACTCCCTTTCCAGTAGGTTGACAAAAGCTCTACAATTAAACTGGTTTGCAGAATCCAGGTGAAACCCTTCTCATCCCAGATATTTGCGGTTGTTTGTAACTTTCCTCACATTCTTACAGAAGCCCCAGAAGGCTTTCTCGTTAGCTCTGAGGATCCCAGAACCAAAGGATGGGTCCGTTGTGTTGAGCGTTCATCTTTAGAAATCCTAGCCTTCCATATGAGAGTCACAGAATATCCACAAGTAAGAGAATACATGAGAAAACCCCAAACCCAAACCCTGTAGAAAATAAAGATATAAAAGCAAAGTCACAGAGACAAATTGGTATTTAAAAAACCCCTGAAAACAACTTAATTGTCCAGTTGAATATAATGATTATTAAAAAAATAACAACCCGTCGTTTGAAACTTCCTAGACGAATTAAATACTGTTTTTCTTCATCTTTTTCAAGTGGGTTGGTGGATGCAGACAGAATCATAGAGAGGAGAGTGAGAGGGGTGGGCAGGTATGGGTGTGAGCTCCTCAGTCTTTGTTTGCTGCCCAGAGGGAGACGATGGACGGGGCATTGAGTGATCTGACACCCCTTCCCCCAGGGAGGCTGCCCCTTGCCCTCTTGTAGCCTTGCATCTCCAGTAGTACTTGCGTCCTCTTTGATGGTTCCTGTCTGGATTTGTTTCTCAGTGGGTCGCGGCTTGCCTTTGGGTTGGATGTTGTTTAGACTGGAACAAGCTCCCTTGCTTGCTAGATCTGGGAATGTAAAGCTCATTGTCTCAAGTGTGGCACCTGCTGGCCTCCCCTAGGTCTTCTCGGCAGGGAGCCCGTGTGCCTTGTTTCCCCTGCCTTGTTTCCTCTGCTGGGCAGTGGGTGGGAGGAACAAGAGAGAGTGAAGCCTCCCTTTGTGTGGCTCAGGATGGGCTTCTGTCCTAGGGGTCACCAGAGGTGCTCCAGTTGAGGTGTGGTCCCCTTCCAACGGGGGCCAGGCACACTGGGGTGTGAGAGCCTGGGAACCGGAAACAGTGTCAAAGCTAATCTTGGGATGAAAACTGTAAGCACTTTTAATGAAAATCAGTTCTTCCTGACTCTGAAAACCTTTATTTTTCAGAAAGCTTAAAATAAATTATGTCTGTGGTACAACAGCTTATCTTCTCAGGAGTCTGAGTTCAGTGTTGTGAGGATTTGGTTCCTGCTGTGGGGGAAGGAATGGGAGCCCGAAGCTGCCGATTTCTTAAGCTAGATGAGTAGTTCAAGGCGCAGTGGGCGCCTCAGATCCAGGATGGAGCAGAGGCAAATCTAATTCTAACCTATGGCTTTTCAAGAGCCCCTGCTGAGGCAGGAGGTATCTATGCCCTGAGATGCTTCATCCTATCATGTGGAGTCAGACCAACTGTACTAAATCTTGGACCCACCGCTTTCTAGCTGTGTGAATGGGGCCAGTTACTTAATGTCTCTGAGGCTTTATATAAAATGGGGACAATACTGCCTACTTCTGAGGTTGGTAAGAATAGTGAAATGATGTATGCAAGTTATTTAGCATGCATGGTGTCTGGCGCCTAGTAGGTGCTCAACAACTGGTTGCTACCTTATAGATGTTGTTGTTTAGAGGAAATAGAGAGCTAACCTAGAAGGTAACTGGGTATTCCTTCCATCACATCTAATTTCTGCAAGGTCATCTCCACACATGAAACTGGTAGGGAGAGATGACGAGCTGTTCCTGGAAACACCAGGTCACATCCTGGTCTAATGGAAATATTTTCTTTGCTTACTTTGTAAAAACCAGAGTGTAGGGATCAATAGTTTGAGTTTTGGACTTATTCCATTATGAAAAGTCATGATAAGCTACCCAACTGAAAATGCTCAAGCTTAGTTCTGATTCAGTCTACTTCTCATCTCACTGTAAGTTACAAAGTCCTTGATTTGGGTGTTTCTTGGGGAGATGGGGTAGGGAATGGAAGGAAAGGAAATGTATTTTCCTTCCTAAGTGGAATCCTTCGTCTTCTCTCCTCCTTTTCAAAAGTATGGCCTCAGGAATCCAATATTTGTATTGGAAAAAAGGTTTCAAAAGTATGGCCTCAGGAATCCAATATTTGTATTGGAAAAAAGTTTGCAACTTGGAACTTATAGGCTAATAATGAAAGTGCCGTAAAATAAAGGGTATATGCAAATGTGGGAAATATTGAGCTTGTCACACACAGAGAATCGGATGTCCTAGGGGGATTGGGAATCCTTGGGTGTGAAATAAACAGTGATGCCCTTAATCCCGGAGTACTGAGATAATAGAAAAAGTCTTCTTTCAAACTCATTGACTTTACACAAAGTTCCTAATCTAAATCAAATTTCATGTGGGTAGAAGAAAGGATGTAGCATCTTAGTATGGTTGTGGCTTAAAATGACCTTATTAGTAAAATTGGAGGAATTAACTGCTTTATGGGGTCTTTCCTGTCTCTAACTTCAGTGTTTTTTAAAAACTTAACAAATAACCACGAAGCTGGCTTTTAAAAAAGGTTGTAGGAAAAAAGAGATAACGATGTGTGGAATAGAAATAAAGGGGAAAAAGGGCTGAAAGCAGGCCAGGAAAATAATGTACTCAGATATTCCATTGACTTGATGATTGTTGTAAACATTAGATCTTCATAAAAGTCATTGCATAGAGGCCTGTGTCCTCTGGCGGCTGTTTTCTTAAGTCAAACTTTAGACAGTGACAAATGGAAAAAGGAAAGACGAAACATTTTGTGGTTTCAAATTATAAGGAAACAACAAATACGTACGACTCCAACCAACAGCTGGTTAGAAATCTGATTACTTGCTGTCTTGAGTTAACCGGATTCTTTGTGAAAAGCTAAAGTGAATTGCTAGTTAGATCATATGAGATAATAGCATCAATTGCGGAAGATGGCGTTCGGTGCACTGTAAAATGTTAAATGGAAGGGGATTTTAAAAAAAGGTGTTGTGGAAAATTTGAAGCATACGCAAACGTAGAGGCTAGTGTAATGAACCCAAACTCATTCCCAATAATGATCAACTCACCTTCAATCTGCTTCGTCTCTGTACGTCTACTTTTCTCCCAGTCCCCAGATTTTTTTGAAGCAAATCTCAGATATCAGATCAAGGGAGATTTTTTCCAGTATTACTAATGTAAGTCAGAGTAATTTAAGTTATTTTAATGAAAATATTGCTTTGTGCTGGAAACGATGCCTTTAAAAGTTGTTTCAATGCTTAGTACTGAAAGTGACGAAGCCTGAAAACAGAGGTGCTCATTGGAGGAAGGAAGAAATGTCAGGGTCTGCTGCTCTTCTGTCTTTCTGGGCTTCTTTGTCTGTCTGTCCTTCTCTCTCTGTCTCTAAGCTGTTACCTCCAAAGCCAAACACACCTGTACCAATTTTATTTAACTTCATCACATTTATTTAACTCCATGTATTACCCTGTGTCATCTAATCCCTAAAGAGATGAAAAGCTACACTTACATTTCATTTTTGCTCTTAAACTGCCTTCCCAAGTATTTTCTGTGTTTGGCTACATCAAGATCATTGCTAACTTTTAATAAGGGTATTTCCTATCAACTAAAGAACTGATTGTATTAAATTATTTGAAATTTATCCAAAAGGGCAAACAATTTTATTCTATGAGGAGCAAGGATTTCTGCTTGTGAGAGGACCAAGTCCAGATGAATCTATATCTATACAGTGAAGCTTTCTTCTCCCCTTCTCCTTCTTTTGTTTTTTCAGATGAAGATATCCCTAATTTTCACTTTCTAGTCCCCCACAAGTGGCAGAATTTTTTTCCTCTTGTGCAGTTAATTATTGCATCTTCTGAAGTTAGAAGAGGAGGAACAAATTGAAAAATCTAAGTGTTAAAATTCCCCGTCCTGGGCTTCCCTGGTGGTGCAGTGGTTGAGAGTTCGCCTGCCGATGCAGGGGACGCGGGCTCGTGCCTGGTCCGGGAGGATCCCACATGCCACGGAGCGGCTGGGCCCGTGAGCCATGGCCGCTGAGCCTGCGCGTCCGGAGCCTCTGCTCCGCAGCGGGAGAGGCCACGGCAGTGAGAGGCCCGCGTACCGCAAATTAAAAAAAAGAGAAAAAAATTCCCACTGTCCTATTTTTAGAGACTTAATTTAAAAATAAATTCTGATGACATAAAAAGAAATGAAAATTCCCTTTACCTTCCTTCAATGTTCTTTACCTTATGGGTAACTGTGACTTTTTAAGAAAAACATTTTCTTTATTTTCCCCAAATATGGAGAGAATCATTACAAACTCTTTGTATGTGTGTGTGTGTCTGCAAATAGCAATAATTCTAGCAGGCCTCCTATGTCTTTAAGAAAGCCAAAAATTACTGCCAGTTCTATTAATGTGTCACATCTTTCAGCTGAGTATGATATGACTTGCATTTTTAACTTTACTGATTAAAACTAGTAAATCAGTAAATCTTCTTTCCCTTTAAACCATGCTGAAATTGAGTAAACTCCTTTTTCTGGTTTTTAAACATTCTTCGTTGTGAGTTCAGTTGAAGGTCACAGTGAACCTCTCATTCCCTTTATGTTGTGTGGCAGTCTGTCATCTTCTAGTGGTTTTTGATGTGGTCCATCTTTGAGAGCCACAGGAATTCCACCCAGGGTTCAATTATCTACTAGGAAATAAAGAGCCTGCTGGTGCTCATTTGCTTTGTTTTGCATGGACTGTAAAAGAAGGCCATCTTTAATGAGGTAAATCATGAGCTTGTAGCTTTGAGTGTGTTAAAGTCACATTCAAGTTTTATAATTTTGGAAGTCAGTTTTGGTGTGGATGAGGTGGAGAATAGACTGGAAATGAATCTACCTCTCATCTCTCCATCTGTCTGTCCATCCATCCACCCATTCACTCACCCAGTCCTATAAGTTCATTATTTAAATGTTCAGACATTTTAATGATTTTTCCTTTTTCTGGTGAATTATATAGGAATGAAATCTAACAAAATCTCTAAAACATTCAAAATCAAGAGTGATAATTACTTTTGAATAGCGAGGCTGATTCTTTCCCTACGTGAAGATAACCTTTGCTTAGGAAAAGGGAAAGAATTCAGTGAAATTAGAGGCAAACTTTAAATCTTATTCTATAAAATCTAAACCAACCTGCAAGTTAAGTGAGGTTTAAATGAAATGTGGAGAATGCTTTTGTTTGTGTGTGTGTGTGTGTGTGTGTGTGTGTGTGTGTGTGTGTGTGTGGTATATATAAATACAAAGTAATTGAAAAACATAAAACTTAATTTGAACCATAACCTGTTTTGAATCCAGTTAATAGTTTATAGGAAAGATCAATTGGATTGAACCAAATCAACTGGGAATCAAATCTTTTTTTTTTCCCTATGGAATTTGGCTTTTCCCTCCCCACCTTTCCCTCTGATCAAGCTTGGGTGTTTGGAAGCCCTTGCTAGGTTGCTGTTTTTGCCCATATCAGAACGAATGCCCCTTTTTGGCATCTAGGGGTGTGTAGCTGGATCGTGTCTTGATATGAAGAATCTAGATCAATTCTTTCTGGCTCAAACACTCTAGAAAAAGCTTGTGCCCCTTTCATGATAGAGAAAAGGCTTTTCTCTGTGCCTCACTGAGAGTATAACTATGACAATAGCCAAGCAGTTCTCCAAGAGTGCCAGATTTGGAATCTGTGGCCAGAGGAAGAGAAAGAAAAAAATTATATCTTAAGTATTCAAAGCCCTGCATTGGAAAGGGAAGGTTCCATCAACCAGAACAACTGGTGTTCTTGAGAATACTCTATTCACAGAAGGAAAATACATCTTCTTATGGTATCGCATATAAAACTATTACAGAAGCTGGCATGATGGTGCTTTACTCTTTAAGTGAAGCTATTAGCATATGGACAGATTTTAGCTTCTTAGATAATCTATCAATATATAAACTGCTTAAATATATGAATAGTTCACAGTTAACGGAATGAATTTAGGCTGTTAGAAAGCCAGTTGGAGCAATTCAAAGCCCCCAAGTTCACTTTCTTACTTCTGACTTCCACTTGGGATCTATACTTTTTTAGGACAGGAATCACATCTATTTATATATATCTATACACACCTTGTGGGGATGGGCTTACAGTGTTGTCAACAAAACCCTATGTTACAATCTACACAAGTGCAATGAGATAGTCTAAAAGGTCTTTCAAAATGCGTAAGACTTAAATCTTTTCTTCAGTTTAGAACTAATGTACAGGGCTGTTAGATTTGAGTGCTATGTTAAAGAAAAATTACATTGTTTTCTCTGTGGGCATAGAAGTAAGTTAGAAAATTACTCTGTATAAGCAGAAAAAAGCTTGCTGAGTTGAAAGTGACAAGGGTACCCCTTGTAGCAAACAGTGCAATGCCCTGCCGTGAACGTATCGAAGGCTTTATGACTAACAATTAGAAACATTATTATTATTATTACTTTTTGGTCTGTCAACTTTCATGTGCCATCTCAACCTACATCTTTAACTAAAATTTCTGTGCTGCTGTAGTTGTGAGAGATCAGATGATACCAAAAGAAGAATGGAGTTACTTTGTCTAGAGCATTGTTATGTAGTACATTAGCCACTAGCTACATGTGTTCATTTAAACTAATTAAAATTCAAAATTTGGTTTTCAGTCTCACTACCCTCATAAGAAATGTTCAATAGCCCATGTAGCTTGTAGCTACCCTATTTGACTTGCTAGTGTAGAGGTTTAAAATGTTTCTTCAAGTCTTTATAGGCTCCCGCCTGCCCTGTTTTGTTACTTTGCTTGGGAGGAGGGGAAGCACTAAATGATGTAGAGGCTATTTCTTATGGTGATGACATTTGTTGTGATGGGTCACAACCCTTGAATGGGTAGCTTCTTTTACTCTGAGAACTGTTCATGTGTGTATGGAGATTTTGTGACTGTGAAACAGCACAATACAAACTCAGACTCTTAGCCGATACTCCACTGAGGTCTGGCAGTATTCACCACAGCAAGAGAATTTTCATAGCTTCTTCTGGTCTTTGTACTATGAATTGACCAAACTGAAAGAATAGAGTGGAAATTGGAGTGGGCACTGTCTTGTTTCTCATTTTTGAATAGCTCAGGTCATCCAGTCATTCAACTGGTATACACTGAGCACATACTCTGTGCTTTGTACTGAGCTAAACTCTGACTTTACAGACATAAGACATGGGCCCTGCCTTCAAGGAACTCAGAACTTGGAATGGGAAGTAGACATGTAAAGAGATAATTATAATGCAATTAGGTAAGTGTAAGAGTAGAATTATAATTATAGGTATATAAAGTCAAGATATATAAATAAATACAAATACATATTTTTTGGACTTAAATGATTTATTTCTAGGTTTTTACATCAGAGCTCTTTTGTCTCCGCCACCTGTTGAAAAAATTAGGACCTAGCAGTTTGGTACAAGCTTTTGATCAGCTTATTCCATAGATTCAAACCTTTAAGTTCTGATTGCCCCTGCGGGAGCAGAGCTGAGTGTATTGAGTTTTTGGAGTTGGTTGGAAGCCAGGGGGGTGTGTATGTGGAGTGAAGGGGAGCCTGTCCGCTGCTGGTGTGTGATGGGGATGCCCAGTCACAGCCCTCTCCATGTCTCCCCAGCTCTCTGTGCCATGGTCGCCACCATCTGGTTTCCTGTGTGCGCCCACCGTGAGACCACCATCGTGAGCTTTGGCTACTCCCTGTACGCGGGCTGGATCGGTGCTGTGCTGTGCCTTGTGGGTGGCTGTGTCATCATCTGCTGCGCCGGAGATGCCCAGTCATTTGGTGAAAACCGTTTCTACTACTCTTCGGGCTCCAGTTCCCCCACTCATGCCAAGAGCGCCCATGTATAAGAGAGCTACCAGCCTGCCCATGGAGGTGCTATAGATGCTGGGCCCATGGCCCTAGGTTTGCTTGCCACAGTGAGGGGGTGGGAAGCCCACTCCTCTGCCAGGCTCCAAAGCCAACGGTCTAGAAAAGCATCCTGTCTGGCATTTTGTAGTCTTAACACCTCCTCTCCTTTTGTTGCCTTAAGAGAAATCTTTAGCTCAGACGCCACACATTTTTTCCATGGTTTTGCCCACTATTAGCTCTTTTCTGGGCATTCCTTTGTCATATATATATATATATATATATATATATATACACACACACACACACACACACACACATATATATGGGAAAAAAATTTCCCCCTCTCTTTAACTTTTAAATATCTTGCAAACATTGCTGAGTTGGGTGTGGGGAGAGAAATAAAAGACACTTTCAAACTGTTACAGATGACAATGGGAGCCTCATAAACATGCCTCTCTGTTCCCTCCCTCCTCTCTCAGCTCCAAGGTCACTTAGTTATAACCAATAGAAAAAGATAGAATTGGGAACACGGGGTGGGGAAGGGAGGGGAATTGTGGCACTTTCCCTCCATGGGAAAGTTTCCCTTTTGTAAGTTGAGGGCAAGGGGTGGAGATATTTTTTAGTTTGTGATTTTACATTTATCTGTACATACTTTTTCAAGATTGCTCATTTTTATAACCATGGTTTTCCTGAAATTCTCAATTCATCAGTATGAAGGAAATGAACCAGGTAGACTTTAATGATACCATAAATAACAGTACAAGTGAGTATAACTCGAACTGACATTCCACAAAACGTTTTTGATGTCCAGGTTTGTATGATGTAGTTTTGAATCCTACACCTGCATGTGCTTCCATTTAACACATTTTAGAAGCTTTTCCCCATTTCTCTCTATTTTCATTCTGTTAGCTGCCTTGAAGCAATATTGTTTAACATAAATTGTACTGTTGAATTTGGCTTTATGGGTGCAAATACTGATGGTGTATCAGTATCTGGACCCCAAACTCTCCAAACATTGATGGTGCATTTTATTCTTTAAATGAAATCTGTGCAATAAAATAACGGACTGTCTGCAAAACTGGCCTTTAATATTCTGTTGTATCCAGAGGTATTCATCCATCAATTGAAAAATTTTTCATTAATCTCTGCTAGTAGTTTATAGGGAACCTGGTCAGGGATTCAAGAACCAGTCATTCTGCACTGCCATGAATAATTGAAAAGTTATATTTTATTCACTGTATCGTGGTGGTAAAGTGTGGTAGTAAAAATGTAACCTAGATGATCTCTAGGTCTCTTAAGTGGGGATGTTATGGCTTCTTTAAGTCATATATAAATAGGCAGCCATCAGATATCAAGTGCCAAGTATCACACAGTTAAACTCCTTTATCTACGTTGAGTGCTTAGCAAAGGAATTGGCTAGGTATAAAGGGAACTATAAAACAATCCCATTTTATTGGATCTTTAGGTCATAGTATCTAAATGTATTTCATTCAAACATATGAATGTATATATTAGGTAATTTTGAACAAAGACAAATACATTGAATTGATTTATGTGTGTTTTCTATACCAGAAATTCTGTCAAGTTACAAGTCTGCTCTAAAAAAACAGATTACAGTCTATTTTGGCTGTATTTTTCCAAAAGTATTAATTTCATTAGCTGATAGTATAATGATTGGCAAACATTTCCTCTTTGGAAATATCCACTTGGGCTATTCATTTTTGTAGAGATCTGTGTACATCAGATTATAACCTGGTGGAAACTATTTCTAAATTACCTATGGAGAAAAGATTATCTTCTTGTTGACCAAAATATTTGCTTAGTTATGATACAGTCTTTTTTTTTTTTTTGTGGTACGTGGGCCTCTCACTGTTGTGGCCTCTCCCGTTGCGGAGCACAGGCTCTGGACGCACAGGCTCAGTGGCCATGGCTCACGGGCCCAGCCGCTCCGCGGCATGTGGGATCTTCCTGGACCGGGGCACGAACCCGTGTCCCCTGCATCAGCAGACGGACTCTCAACCACTGTGCCACCAGGGAAGCCCTGTGATACAGTCTCGTAAGGACACAAGTGGTGTGATTGTATTGGAGGACGCTCCCTACCTCATGAAAACTTGCCAGGGAGTAATGATTGGGAACATGGATAGAGCAGGATGCTCTCAGGGGGCGTGGACAAGGAAGGCCCTTGTCCCCCTCGCCACAACCACCGGCTTGAGTCAGAAGTGTCCTCTTATGGGTGCATGCGCTCACTGACCCACACCCCTCCCTGAGACTGCTGCTTGCTTTCTCTCGTGAGGGAGTATGCTTTAGGAGCCCCCCTTTTCCCTACAGCAGGAGAAGATATACCCCAGTCTCTCCAAGGTGATCGTTGCCGGCCTAGTTAGGGAATCCCATATTGTAGGTCATAACTCCGGTGTTGGGTTTTATTATCAGTGTGGGGGGTGGGGGTGGGTATAGCTGTTCCTCCAGAACGACACTGTCCAGTAGAAATGTAATATGAACCACATGTGTAATTTAAAATTTTCTAGGGGCCACATTAAAAAGCTAAAAGTAAACAAGCAAAATTAATTTTAATATATTCTATTTTAATCCAATGCCTCAAAAATATTATCATTTCATTATGTAATCCATTATTATTATTATTATTATCTGTGGCTGTGCCACACGGCTGGTGGGATCTTAGTTCCCCGACAAGGGATTGAACCCGGGCCTTTGGCAGTATGAGAGCCGGAGTCCTAACTACTGGACCACCAGGGGATTCCCTGTAATCCATTATTAATGGGACATCTTACGCTCTTCTTTTTGTATTAAGTCTTGGATTCCAGTGTGGCTTTTACACGTACAGCCCCTCTCCATTTGTCCCAGCCATACTGCAAGTGCTAATTATGGCTAATGGCTATTGGATTGGACAGCACAGCTAGAGAACAGCAGTTCCCCCTTAGCAACAAAAGGGGATTCAGTCTTGATGATTTTAGCTGCCTTCATTAGAGCTCCGTTAGAACCTGGCACATATAGTAATTGTCACTCAGGGGAAGACAGTGACCCCTGTTCACAGGTAAAAAGGCAGACCCAAAGAGCTCTACCTGAATAACAGGGAAAAGGGAAGTCCTGCTCCTGAGACCTGTTTGTGCCAGGAACTTCACACACTCAATCCTTCCCTGTTGTATAGATGAGGAAAAGAACATGTAGAGAGTTTAGGTTATTTGTCAAGGTCAGATCGCCCCTGTAGAGCACTGAACTTGGATTAAGTCTAGCTCTAAAGCCCTTGTTCTCCAAGATAAGGATCACTACAGGAGGTCAGGTAAATTGCACTCACCTTGGACACCGACTCAATAGATATGGGTTGTTTCCCAAGAAGCTGCATTTTTATTGTACATCCCCAGTGATTCTGAAGAGGTGGTTCCCACGCCACACTTTGTTAACAGTGAAGGGAAGGACCTGTTCCTCATGCCTTTTTGTAGCGCAGCTAATCCCATCCTTCATCCCTCTTAGATGGTCCTCGGAGGCAAGATTACTCTAACAGTTACATGCAGCTTCCCTCCAACTCTTTGGCCTGTTCTGAAGGGACCACATGCAGGGGACCTTTGGTTTGAAATGAACCAGTTCTGCTCAAGCTTTCCAAGAATTTGATAGAAACCACATTAGAGAAAGAATGTTTCAAGGAAATCTCTGAATCTACAGATGCTAGTTACAATGACAGAAAAAAAAAGAAAAGAGAGAGAGAGAGAGAGAGAGAAGATTGTCTACTTTAAGAATACAAGTTACATATTTGTGCTGAACTGGTGGTTAGGGATAACAATAGAACAAGGTTTGGTTGTATCTTGCCCTGTAGTTTTGTTTTTGTTTAATTTCAAATCTGCGTTTCAGTGTTTCTCTATACAATGTACACAATGTGAACTGCAACATCTTAAATGTTTGGCAGGACATTCATGCTCATGACATCACATGCTGGGAGGACAGGGAGGCCACTGTAGGGCTGGCTTTGGGCAAAGGCAGCATCAGTGCTGCCATTGAGATGTCCCCACAAAAGAGTGTGTGACAGCCAGATGTGCAGCTTAAAGGAGACTAAACGAGAATTGTGGGTGGAACATTGGCACATGCTGCTTATGGCTTGAATAGCAGCTCTTGAGGAATCTATATTTCTTTACCTCACGCAGAATCTCAGAGCTCAGGCTTTGTGGCCCTGGGGCTGGGGGAGGGTGTGGAGATGGAGGGACTTGTCACTGCTCCATGCCACATTGTTGAAATGAAAAACATGGAAACCGTAAGCCATTTCTAGAGGATTGTGGAAGGTAAGAATTGCTTCTGCTTTATAGCAAAATTACCTACCAAATGGCAAAGAGCACCTAGTTGTCACAGTCTCGGGCTTTCTTTAATTAAAACGTTATGTCAAGTTACGTTCAACTTTGCTTTTCAAACTGTGGTGTTCATACCTATCACCTAGGGGTCTGGTTAAAATGCAGCTTCTGATTCAGCAGGTCTGGGGTGGGGCCTGGGACTCTGCATCTCTAACCAGCTCTCAGGGGATGCTGATGCTTTTGGTCTAGACTCACACCTGGAGTCGTATACACTCATTAAAGAAAATTTGAACACTAGAAAAAGACAAGTCACAAGCTCTTAGAACTTTAGTCATTCTAAAATGGATTTTAAGAGCATCTGTTAAAAGTATTTATTTATTCATTAATTGATTCATTTGTTAATTAATTAAGCAAACGTTTGATGAGTACTTGTTATGTGCCAGCCATGCATTAGCCACCAGATATGAAAAAGAATCTCAAAGTCAATCCCAGCCCTCAGTTAACTCACAACCTAGTGGTGTAGTCAGGAATGTCATGATGCCATTGGCTTCTTATCATTGCCATCTTTGATCTACTTTGGAAATTTACACCCTGACTGAGAGGAGAAAATAAAATACCAGCAGAAGCACATTAGTGCACAGATTAAAGATAGGAGTTTACAGAATATTTGATATATAAAGGCATATTGACTAGATCTTCTCCCAACTTTGCACCTTTTTTATGGGTGTTGAAAGTCAGCCAATCCCAAACTCTGTTGATTTAATTACGCACAGAAGACTGAGGAATGGGCAGAGAAGGCCTTCTCCAGGTTTCTGCGCCGTGTCCTGCTGAGACCTTCCACAGAGGAGCATGCTGTTTTTTAGGGGTGGAATTTAGTTGAAGGTGTCAATCTTTTCTTGTTTGAATGATATAAGAACTTCCTCTCCAGGTGCCAGAGCTCAGCTTTTATTACGATAGGTGCAACAAGAACAGTGAAGTCAGCTGCCACTGACTTGTCGTAGAAGGCTCGGCCAGGTATAGTGAGCAAAGTGGAAACTTGAAGCAGTGACCCCTTGCTGGGGATTGTAGATGATCCAAGGGTGCTGAACTGTTCCCAAGAAAAATATGAAGAATAATATTTCTTTTTTTAGCTGACTAGAAAACAAACAATAAGAATAAAAATCTAGGCATTCACCGAGTGACTAATACAGGCACACACTATTACCAAGTCATTTCATGAAATCCATTCTACACACGGTAAAAGTTGAGCAATTCACAGTTTTGGCCTATTAGATGGTTCTTCTTCACAAAGCCCTCAGGAACCCTGGCTCCTTCCAACTCACCGCTTTGCTAGCCCCAGGGGGTGACTCTTGAACTCATGGTGCAAGATGGCAGCATCTACATTGCCGCTGGAGAAAGGATCAAAGAGAAGGGCCAAAGGCTCATGCCCACCATCTCCTAAGATAGTTCCCTGAAGCTGCTGCAGGAATCTGCTTGCAGTAAGTCACACGGCCACATGTAGCTGCAAGAGAGGCTGGGAAGTATGGTCTTTATCAAGATTGGCTACATAAGCTGCAGTGCCCAGGATAAAATGGAAATATGTAGCTCCTTTTACAAAAAGCAGGGAAAAAGTGTGGTTAAAAATACTTAAAACATAAAGCTTTTTCCTTTTTTTTGTGGTCTCTCTCTTGAGTTGTCATGGTGGATTTTTTTTTTTTTTTTTTTTTTTTTGCTATTTAATGTTGTTCTAAGTAAAGAAAAATTAAAATTTTAAATTAAAAGCCTGAATTTTACCATTCTTATT